CATTTATGCTCACCCAGAATAGAGAAGGTCTCATTTTAAGCACTCAGCGAGAGTCGCAGCATCACAATTCATCCAGCTTTAATTAAAAACAATAACCGGGTAATCATTTATTTATGTCACATCGGTGATTTATAAGACAGTTTCGATTAATTATTCTCCCCGCGGAAAGCCAAATTGTGTGCAGATAAAGACTAAAACAAAACTACTGACAGTAAAAAGAGTCCTTGAGGCAAAACAATGTAATGTGTTTCATTCAATCTGAGCTCATTATGAGGAACAGTTGCAGTTATTGAGTGATGGATGTCTGGAGAAGAGTGGAGCAGGAAAAATGCTGCAACTTCCAACCAGGGGGTCTAAAATCTGCCGATCTGAGGGCCACAAGTGACTCCTCGGTTCTTCTGCAGAGGCTCTTTTATTTTCAACTGAAATTATAACAGAAAGGAGTAATTCCTTTTTCATGACCACCACATAAAGGCTAGTTTCACCCTTTTTCCTGTCAGTGCTTTATGCAAATTTAAATCTCCGTGACAGCTAGATACTGATCACAGGCATGGACGTAATTTTCACTTTAGAAGTGTGTGTGTGTGTGTGTGTGTGTGTGTGTGTGTGGGGGGGGGGGTGTGATCTTTACAGTATGCTCTAATGGGAAACAGGCTTCAACACAAATGGTTGTTTTCTGCTTGGTCCTAGAGCTCAACTAGTGTCAATTTAATATAGCGTAATATTGTTTTTGGATGGTAAAAAGTGCAGGGGTCAAACCTTGACTTTGGAAAAAGTGGGGGGGACATGTCCCCCCTGTCCCCCCCAAAATTACGTCCATGATCACAGGAAGTGGTTAAATTAATTGATTTGTTAAACTGTTTGCTAATAAAACTTCTGGCCAGGTGGAATGATCATTATCTCAGATCCATCTCATGAATTAAGCTTTTTAAACATAAACAGGGATAATCACATCCACAGAGAAGGCAAAGAGTGAGAGAGGCCATTTTTCCGAAGAGGCCACTGTGCTTAAACTGCTGCTTTTTGTCTTATAGATCTTGAGTGGCTGCTACCTTTGTCAGGTTTTCTGATGTCAAGGAAACTTCCTGGTTTAATACACATATTAAACGAAGTTGGTAGAGGAACTAATGAGCAGTTTTGCTCACAAATGAATGAGCAATCTGACACAAAATAGTAGGGATGTCCAACTTTTCACTTCCGATACAATACCGATATTGCAGCCTTCAGTATTGACTGATACGATATCAATCCGATACGATATCGGCACAAATCATACATACTTTTACCTATTTTGTAGTGCGGGATGGATGGAAGGCTTGACCAAGCGATTTTACTCAACTGGAGAACAAGAGCCAGCATAGGCGTCATTTTAACCGGGGACGCCGGGGACATGTCCCCGGCAAAATTTGTGATTGGCAGCTGTGTCCCCCCCACTTTCAAAAAAGCCTGCTGCTGAGGATTTTTGTTTTACCAGCTCAGATCTTATACCAGGGGTCGGCAACCTGTTCCCATCAAAGAGCCATTATTACCCGTTTCCCACAGTAAAGAAAACACTGGGAGCCGCAGCGTTGTGGGCGGGGCCTACCCTCAGACAGCAGAGAGCTGCTCACAACCAGGTGACAGCAGCCGGTACCGCATGGGCGTCGCACCCAAGGGCGTCAGTTTGTTTTCAGAATTGCTGGGGACAATAACCATACACTTGAGTGGGGTTTAAAAATTGCTGGGGACAATAAAGGCAGGCTTTTTTGAAAGTGGGGGGGACACAGCTGCCAATCACAAATTTTGCCGGGGACATGTCCCCTGCGTCCCCGGTTAAAATGACGCCTATGGTCGCACCCGTGGGGGATTCAACACCCACACTTTTCCAGCTGTTTCGCTCACCTCCACACCAGTCTGGTTTCTTTAGTCGCACTCACTCTGTTTGCCTCATCTCCTTCTTCACCTCCCTCTTCTGACAGCCGATGTCGGGTTTCCAGGAGAGCAGGAGAGGGAGGGACGGAAGAGCTTGACTGAATTCATAATTTTACATCTTGACATTAGCTGTACAAAGTCTGAGTTTGATAAAGTGAAGAACAATAATTTGCAGAGGTTTATAACTGGCACAGCGCCAGGTTTTCATTTTTGGGTGGGCCACGGTAATTCTGGACGGACCTTAATAAGCAGTGACTAAAGTGAAGCAGGCAGGACGCGCTAGAAAATTTAGTTTAAAAAGACGTCATAAATGTGTTCCCCGTCATTTTTATTTCTAAAATATGAAGTAAAAACTCCCAATTTAATTTTCATTCATTTGTCATTAATAATTAGTCTACACCCGTGCGTTAAGTGGACCATCTTCCAGTAAAAGCAAAGCATCCAGCCCACCTCTCCAAATGCGTAAAATGTGCACCACAGCCGTTAGGCGCGCCGCGCGCACCATCAGCTCCGTCAGTCCAGACAAGAGCAGAGCATATAGAGAAAGAATAGAGGATAATTCTGTCTGGATGTGGATGGAGATTACATTTTACAGCAGCCTGATCATCATTTAAATACGTAAACCATCACCTGTCTTCTAGTCCACGCTATCAGCATTATTTTAATTGGTGTGTGTGTGTGTGTGTTTTCCACTTCAAACACTGGTCTAACCAACCAGACCAGCGTGTCCAGTAACATATTAATGTTACACTTCATGTAGGCTAGGAATATTTCACCTGCCGTGGCCCGACCGCTTCTGCTCCACATGAACTTTGTGTGTAATCAAATGTCTCTACAGGAGCTTTCTGAGCTGCTGTTCTGCCTCAGACTGGATGCGTCATGTGTCTCCATATTAGAGACGGGAACAAGCGCGGTTCAGCCAAAGTTTCATAATTTCATAAAAAGAACATTTTTCCAAGTGACACATCCCTCAGAGAGACCGGGTTTCCAGACCGCTTTAGTGGGAGGAAATCTCATTGCATGCACCGTGGTTCTGCGCTGCGCTGCGCTGCAAACCCCTCTACAGATCTTCAGCTCACTGTCCACCGTGGGCACTCCGAGCCGCGTTGAACACAGTGTCCAGTATAAAGCTCTGATGTTCTGATGGGAATCAAGTTACCTCTGCGATGTGCGTATTAAAATGTCAGCTCATCCATGCGCATCAGTGTGCGTCGGGGTAATTCTTTCAAAACAGCCAACATCCTTGAGTTAATCTGTCAAAATAAACAGTCTAATGGAAATATCTGTAACCTGCCATTGAACTGTTTTGCCTTCTTGTGAAGATTGTTGCAAAGAGAAACAATTAAACTTGATTAACCCCAGAGCCACGCGCACTGCACTGTACTTCGTGACTGTAAATGAGGGGGAAACTATTTAATCAGATCCTTTTCTTTTCAACATGGTTTAATGTAAAGTTTCATTCAGTACAAACTTTAGTTACACCAATCTAACGAGACAGAGCCTGGATTTGTATTGTGAACAGTTTAAACATGTTTAAAACGGAGACATGCGTGACGCGTCTAAAATTCGTACCTGCTCCGCTATTATGGAAATTAAACTAACAAGATGAATAACATGAACTTATTTTAGGCACAGAAGACATCCCCCACACTTTTGAAAATCTTGCAACGAGCCTGGTCGCTCGTGTACGTCAAAGTTATCTTTCATAAGACGATAATCAATAAAACGATTTATATAAAATGGATCCAGAAGTTGTAGCCCGTCTCTGCCTACAATATTTTGATATTTTTCACCCTGTTGGTGGTTTTACTGAGCAGGTGCCACTTTTGTCATACGTTTCTTTTAAAAATATGTTTAGACTGTTCAGAATACAAATCCAGGCTCTCAGAACCAGAGCGCATGTGGAAGGTTCCTCCCACTGAAGCGAGTGTTTTCCAAACCCTGTCTCTCAGAGACTTGTCACTTAGAAAATGCTCCCTGATTATGAAACTTTGGCTGAATAGTGCTTGTTCCTGTCTTCAATGTGGCGACGCATCCAGGAGCCGTCTGAGGAGAATCCCAGAATGCGGTATCTCGGTCAGAAACCTCACATCCTCCAGCTCAGGAAGCGCATATTATTACGCACAAGCGTGACGCGTCAACCCGGTCTCACAGTAAGACCGGGTTGGAACTGTTCAGGTTTACGCAGACAATCAGTAAAATATAAAGCATTTTATTTAAATATCAATTCATTATTTTACAAGCACAGAGAGCCGCATCAGATGGATGGAAGAGCCGCATGCGGCTACAGAGCCGCCGACCCCTGTGCTAGCCTACTTTATTGTCCCCAGCAATTTTAAAACCCCACTCAAGTGTATGGTTATTGTCCCCAGCAATTCTGAAAACAATCTGACGCCCTTGAGAGCCAGTAACAGTAAGTATGAAAAAAAAGACAATTATTTTTCAACCATTGGTTGCAAAAATGTGAACTTTGACAGACTGCTTATATCGGAGATTTTGATGCAGTCCGATATAATCCGATACCGTGTTTTGGGCCGATATCGAATAACTTCCGACATCAGAACGAGACAACCCTACAAAATAGCATTAATTCATTTTGAAAACAGAACTAAAAATATTTTTAGATAAAAACTTTAAATTAATGCATGTACATGACTGCATCTCAGTACAATTAAATGATCAGCAATGTGGTTTACTGTTAACGTTCATCTGAGTTGGTAGATGTAGGAGGATGTATTAGTTTCCCACAAAATAGAAAGGATGAAAGGCGTTTACATCTTCTAAAAAGGATGTTCAACAAGATTTTCGGAGCTCCTTTCAACAAGTTTGTCCATTTACTTTGTTTTGACATGAAGATACGAAGGTAATATTCAGGTGATAAATTCTGAAAAATAATGCGGAAATTAAAAAAAAAAGGGGGAAACAAGGTTTCCAAGAGTTTTAGAAAGACGAGTAGGACTCCTAGTGAGTTTTATTTGAACTTTTATGACATTTTAGTGAGAGGAAGGAGGACATAAAGGTCGCAGACCCCTGGAGTTGTGCCCTCTGACCTCCTCCCCCGTACTCTCCCCGTCGCGCGCAGGGACCCCTCCCCTCCCTCCCCGTTCACAAGTCATGATGGCGGAACTGTGGTAGACTTCAGAGCGAGCTAGAGAGCACCGCCCGTGTTCGCCGAGCAAGTGTACAAAGTAATTTATTTATTCAGACAACTTTACGCGCTTCCCCCGCCATGACCCGCTGGATTCCCACTAAAAAGGAGAAGTACGGAGTCGGTAAGTAGCGGCTCTTGCTCGTTAGCGTGTGTTTGTTTTGGTAAATCTGGAGACCTCGCCTAGCCAACAACTCCCCAACAGCTTCAAAAGAAACAAACGGGACTCCTCAAAAGTTCTGGGAACCAGTGTTTCCCACCTCGAGGCAGCGGGTCCTAAAGTTTGTGTCTCCAGCATTTTTTTTATTTCACACAAGAAACTTCGTCTTTCAGCCTCCTGGTTTTTATGTGTGGGTTTTTATCAAGGAGGGCACTGTGGAAAAATGGAAGAGAGCCAAAGTTTCTCTGAGCATACCAGTCATTCTTCAGCTAAAGCACACAGAGAAGACTTTTGAAGTTAAAGTAAACCGAAATTATTTGGTCAAAGGTCGTTTATTGTCCCCCTGGAGGACTCCTGCAGAGAGAATGCAGCACTTGGGGGTTTGTAGTGTATGAGACGTAAAAGATAAATGCATTTAAACACCTGGAAAGCTGTTTCCAGGTGTGTAAACACGTGTATTTAGCTTACATGTTAACCGTGTCTAAGTTGTGAGCCATAACCATGTAGTGTGTTGCACAAAAGGTCATTTGGACCTATGTTTTACAACAAGGTGTGGCTCTATTACCTGGTTTCTGAGTGATTATTTCCAGTCTACTATCTGAGACTCATCCACACCCACAAAGTAAATCTGCACAACATTCTCTAGAAGAGAAATCTCTTGTCTGCTGTTCTGTAATGATTTTATAACTTCACACTTTGGCTGATCTGGTGGCTCTTTCATCTTGGTCTACAGAAAAAGTGTTTCTTGTGAACAGAACGTGAACAAATGATTGTCACCTAAATAACCTTTAACCTTGTGCTCAGTTGTGGTTGTGACTGAGAATATTTCAGTCGACAATCTCATTTTGGAGCTTCGCAGAACAAATCGTCTCGTCTTGGCTCTGTGTGACCTTGTTCCTGCTTTGGAGATTCAGGGATTCTTTTATGATAATCCCATCGATCTCAGCGGGGTGTTTGAACCTATCGGCCTACTTGATTGTGTGATTGTGCCCTTCCCTTGCTGTCCACCTCTGAAACAGAGCAGAAGTCACTGACACTGTACTTAATCCTTAAAATGCCATCAAACCCCGTACAAGGGCTTACATTTTTAATCCGATTAGGTAACCTTGACTGCGCTTAAGTACAGGCAGGGACATTTTTCTGTGAAAGAAGAACGTTCAAGTTTTCTGATAATATCAGTCATATATCATGCTTGCTAACAGGGACGTGTTGATAATGGGGTGCTTAAAATATCACAGTCTTGTACGGCGAATGTGTGACAAAATCATAATAGGATAGATTTCTAATTTTACATCCTGAAAAGAAGCTTTGCACTGGAGGCTCCTTTATAAACTATTGAAATCATCCTGTCTTGGAACAGGAAATTCACATGCAGCAACAGAAGGAGCTCGGTTAAGACATATGAATCACCTCAGGTGATGTCAGTGTAGTTGGCTGCAGCTGGCTTTTTAGGTCGGTAAAAGAAATGCCTCTGGAGCTGTGGACCAGGAAGGAATCAGGTTTATTATGTTTGTGCTCCTCATTTGTGCCAGAAGTTAAATGTTTGTGACCACATTACTCACATAACATAACCAGTGTATACTATGTAAGCATTTCACAACTGTACACACGCCTGAACCCATTACACACACCTGAGTGGAAGACTTCAGTAGTTTTTCAGACCTTTTCTATAATTGTTGTTTGACTCAATTCTGCAGTCCATGCAGATTAGAGTTCAATATAATAAATTGCAAATGAACCACAATTGATACATTCTCTCTAACCTTTTGGACTTTTTAATGGTGGATGCATGAATTAATCACATTAATGTGATAAGATTGGTTTTTTGGCATTTATTTTTTTTATTATTGGGTCGTATACATTTCTAACTCTTGTACAGATGTGACTTGCTAAATCAAATTTATTTCAAATAAAGAACAGAACCTGTCCATCCATCCGTTTTTGTCCCCTTACCTTATTCTGGGTTGATGGGGTAACAGCCCCAGCAGAGACGCCCAAACTCCTTTCCCCTTTTCAACATCCACCGGCTCTACTGGTGGGATCCCCAGAACTTCCCAGGATAGCATGATGATATAATCCCTTCATACGTCCTGGGTTGATCCACAGGTCTTGGACCCAATGGGACATGCTTAGAACACCTTTCCTGGGAGGCCTCCAAGGAGGCTTTTTAACCAAAAGCGAAACCACCTCAGCTGGCTCCTCTCAATGTGGAGGAGCAGCGGCTCAACTTTCGGCAAGTTTGCGCGTACAAGTAAAGAAGTTTTCCTTTTAAACGTCTCCCTTTCTGTGTCAGTGTTGTAAAGCAATTATCTTCCAGGACAGCAGAGACCGTAGCGCTTTTCTGGGCTATCCTGCCATCAATGCAGTCATGTTTCTAGTGTATTTATATATGACGCTTACACATTAGCGTCGGTTCGGTCCCTTACGGTCTGGGATGGCCTACTTCTGGGACCGGAATTTGGTTTCACACACAGGTCAGATTTGCGTTTTTGGTTCCGAGGAGAGTCTTTTTAAAAATGTTTTTTTTTTTTCACCGACTATTGAAACGATTAGTCGACTAATCAGATAATTATTAAATTTTTCTTAAATTTAGCATGAGATTGCTTTAATTGTGTGAAAAATGATAATAAACACAAGAAAGATTGGTACTTCAATGGAAAATGCATATTTTATTGAACTTTGCTGCTGATAGACCAATTCATACTAAAAGTAAATAAAAATGTCCTGTCTAACCACCAATTAGGCACAGTGCCCAGTCAGTACAGACATAAATGCATAAAATAAAAATTCTTTTGTCAGGCACAGTCGGGCATAACATGAAATCTCTCTTTTTTTAAAAGTAAAAATACGTTTAAAAAATGTACAATGTAGATCCAAATCAAAACATATTGGCTTTTGTGTTATTTAAATCTTACTGAGGAGAGTCAGACTCTGTTTCATTCAACTGTCCGACGTGCTTTCTCGCTAAGTGTTCATACATCATCGAGGTGCTGCCGTGATACGCAAGGACTGCTTTGCAAATAAAGCAGGTAATCTTTCTATTCGCTGAATCCAGGCTAGAATGCTCCCAAACTTTAGATGTTTTGGGATGCGTAGCTGCTTTGTTGGACGCCGCCATTTCTGTTAGTTGGCACTCAGCAGAGAAGCTATTGCGCATGTGCAACTCTCGGCAGAAATTGTATTGAAGTGAGAGGCTATACTCGGTCGGAAAAAACACGTCTGGCGACAACGTCGACAATGAAATTCATAGAGAAGAAGGGATGATGATATGTATTTTTTCTGTTTGTGGTATTTTAAAAAAAATTATGTATGTTTTCTTTGTTTGAAATAAACTAAACTAAACTAATTTTAAAACTAATTGTCGACTATTTCTATTGTCGATATTTGTCGACAACGTCGACGAATTGTTGCAGCCCTATTTAATATTCATCAGGCAAAATACATGAGTTTGCTTTATGTTCACAAAAAAACCCAACAAGTTCACAAATGATCGTTAAATGAACTTGTTCAAGTACAACACCACCGTGTTTTCCCTTCTCAAACGTACCTTGGTTTGGTGCAGGTTGTGTTTTTGTTTCTTCTTGTTCATTTGTTTTTCTTTTCTGTTGAAGGTTAAAAATAGGACTGCAGCTATTGGATATTTTGGCATTTGATTATTCTATTGAATCTTACGATGAATCGAGTATTCCATTTGACTATGTTTCAAGTGAGATGAGCCCGTGGTCTGCTGCTAAAAATATGAAGTAAAACAACACAATTATGAGGCCTTGCAGGGTTTCCCCCAGAAAATGAGTAAAGCCTGGCGGCTTCGGCCGTCGGGGGGTCGCGCGAGATCCGTCCCGCAGCGCTCCTTCGTGAGAGCGGGGGTGGGGGTGGGGGTGTTGCACACGTTCCGCTGCTGTTTCTCACCAGTATCAGCTGATGGAGGGCTCTGGTTTCGCTGCGCCGTTCTGTCAGCGGACATGGTAGGGTCGGGGAGGGGGGCAGGGCATGATGCTTAGCCTGGCGGGTGGCCAAGCAAAGCCTGGCGGGCCGCCAGGCTTATGTAGCGCTAGGGGAAACCCTGCCTTGGTTCTAAACCCACGTTTTCTGTTGTTTCCTGACAAGAATAAAACGTTTGCTGCACATATCTGTACTCCTTCAGTCACGGGTATATTAACGTTTTATATTTGTTTACTTTTTCCGGAAGACGTTCTTCAATCCTCTCTGTGACTATAGCTAAATATGTTCGACTCGTTTTATTTTTTTTGAGGAGGAATAGCGGTGCTGTTGACGAAGGTCACGGAAGCAACTTCCTGACCCAATTACAGGCTTGCGGTCACTTTCAGCTGATATTTAGAAAAGTGGACTTCACTCCATCCATCCGTGCAAGCCTCTTGGAGAGCCCTTGCAATGACAGATAATGGAGTTGCGTATCTCCGTACTGATGCAGACGATGAAGTATAAATTAGCCTTAAAGGTATATTTCGTCCAAAAATAAAAATTTGCCTGACATTTTTCCCAGAGTAAGATAAGTGGGGAAAAATAATTTGTAACCAGCCCAGTCATTCTCCTGACCCGGCTGTACTCCTTTCACTTTAGCTTAGCATAAAACACAGTAAGTGAATGGATCCAACTAGCATTGTGAGAAAGAAAAGTCCTTAACGTCACCCAGTAGTGATCCTAATTCTGCTTGGTGACCTAAATAATCATACTGACTGCAAGTAAAAATAATTAGTAACAGAAAGGACTCACAGGCAACATTTTAGACATGGGACTACTTTATGACAAAGCACAGCTGTAAATCTCTGCCAAAAGGTACAAGGCAGCCCCAAAGACACCTCCTTCTGTAAACACAGATGCACATGTATTTTATGAACAACTATAAAAACACACAGAAAAGCTCGTTGTCCTCACTGCAAATAGCCATGTGTAGCTAGACAGCTAGCAGACCACTAAGACAAAAACAGGAGTCTTCACTCAAA